GCACCACAAACCCCGTGGTTTTCAGCAGAAAGTTCGTGAAGAGGTTAGGGCTGGACAAAACCTTGCAGGGGCTTTTAGCAGCTCATCCCCTCCCCAGGAGGCCCAGACTGTCTTTGCTCTCAGACTCAGGAAGGGGAGAGAAGGTGCAGAGCCACTGCCAGGGAGCAAGAGCTGATTTTCTGCTGACCCAGCTGAGGTGTGATCACCCAGCTCATCGGGCTGAGATCTTAAGGACATAAAACTGCTCCTGGAAGAGCCAGGGAAGAACCCACAGAGCCTCCCAAGGGGGACCAACGCAGGGAACTGGTGTCACACAGCACAGGGAGAGCTGTTCCCCCACCAGTCACCCTCCTCCCCCCCAACACACACATTGAAACAGTCCCAAAAAGGTAAAAAAAAAAAAAAAAAATCAAGCAAAAACCTGCTTTTTAAAAATAGCGAGATCTACAAGGAGGTGAGCACATGCCTGAGTGGGTGGGAAATTAGTATTATTATTATGACTTTGTGCTCACAGGGTCTGAGACCTCAGATGACTTGTTTGTGCCCGGGATGAATTTTTGCAGACTCATTATAAACCCTTGAAAAGCGGGGTTTGTAAGGTCAAAGAAGAACTTCCATTAACTGTAGCCCAGCCAGGGATTGCCAGTATAATCTATTTCTCCCATTTATGAATATTCAATAAGGCCAAGAGGAAGCTCCTCTGCTTTATTTCCACATCGTTGTGCTGACGCTGAGCTAACCAAATAAACAAACTGAAGGGAGGGTGGGGAGGAACAGAGAGGCTCAGGGAAAAAAAAAATAAAAATAAAACAAAACCACAAATGGCTGGCTCTCTCCCTCATGAAGGATGCAAATAAATTCTGCAGACTTTGAAGTCAGGAGATCTCAGCAGAGATGAAAATCCCCCTGGGCTGGATGGCTCACCAGGGGCTGGGCTCGGGCGTTTTTTGGGTATTGTGTTACAGAGCTGCTTCCATGCCAAGGATGGGCAGGATAAACATTGGTACCTTGACACCTGACTGAGACCTGGCTCAGGGATTTGCAATCAAGCAGAAGCAGAATCCTCTGGGCTCTGTAATCCCCCCTCCAGGCACTGTGAGACCACAGACTCATCAGACACTTCACAACAACACTCCCTCTCGAGCACTGGGAACATTCCCCAGCCTCTGGGTTGGAGGCACTGCTGGATCCGTGGAGATGGACAGCTCACAGCTCTGCTCCTTCATCCCTGGCAAATCACTAACACCCCATCTGTCATCCATCCCCTGGAAAATCCAGAAACAGGTCCCACCAGGAGGAGCTCAGCAGGACTCAGCAAAGTTCCCTCTGTTCATTCCAAAGCAGCCAGTCCAGGGGATGCTGGCACAGCCTGAATCCACAGCCCCTGCTCCAACAGCAAATCCCTGCTCCAGCAGCAAATCCCTGACCTGAGAGGCTTTGGGAAGAGCAGCCTGTCCCTGCAGACACCTCTCCCCACAGAGCCCCCGAGGTGGAGGGCACTGTTGGCCACCTCACAGCATCTCCTGTGGCTCCCCATCACCTACAGCTCATCCACACAGCCCCAGGAACCTCCTCACCTGCACACACAAACCACACCATCTCCTCCTGGCCCTACATGTCCTCCTGGTAGAATCCCCCCCAGGTCCCATTATCAGGGAAGGATTCACTCAGGGTTTTCTTCTGGTAGTTCTGGAGCCCGAGTTACACCAACTGCTGCTCCCAAACCACTGGCACACTCACAGCCAGCAGCCTTCTCTTCTAATTCTCACAAAAGCAAACCCTTTCTGTTGGCACATTGGCTCTCCCTAACCCAGCTCTGATCCATTTCCACCTCCAAATCATTAAAGATAATAAATAAGCCCAGCCTCAGCGTGAGGAACCTTCACATAATCACCTATCTCCCCTCCGATCAGCACTCGACCATTACACTTCTATTTTCTGCAGCTTAACTAGGAAAGCCAGCACTGAACTCTGCCCCTTATCCCACAGCTATTTATTGCCCACGTTCTGCTATTTATTTCCCAAAATAGTCCCTTTTGGGTGGATTTAATGAAAAATCCAAATAAATTAGGTCCGTTGGAACATGTTGAGCTCCTGTTTTCTCAGCCTTCCAAGCAGCACTAGGAAGGAAGGCTTCCCTACTGGGCACCCATCCTCTGCACGTAAGCTGAGGTGATTTGACCTCAAGCTTAGACCCATCCAAGTATTTGAGTGATAATTAGGCCCTCCCAGCAGGCACCCAGAAGCAAAACTCACCTGCCTGACATCCCAGCTCTTCCTCAGGTCTGATTTCTGGAAAGGCAGCTCGTGGCAAAATTCCTGCTGTATCCATCAGCCCCCTCTGCCCACTGGGGTTCCTGCCTTGCTAACTGCCCATCAAGGGGGGAGAGTCCTCCCCTTCACACCTGCTGCTCATTTGCACCTGATTTACCTCAGACCAACGGTCCCCAGATCTCCTGATTCCCAACACCTGATTCCCAACACCTCTGTCCGTTTGTTCCTCTTGGAACAACTCAATCAGTGCTAATTCACTGCAGGTGGGGACTGCCAGCTCTGTCCTGCCCATCAGCCTCTCCCTGTGACCAGCATGGAAATGTTCTATCCATGGAAGCTGTCCCTGCCCATGGCAGGGGGTGGAAGGAGATGAGTTTTAAGGTGCCTTCCAACCCAAACCATTTTGTGATTCTATGATCTGGCCCTCACTACATTTTCCTCCACCTTCATCACCAGTAACTCCCACATCCACTGTACCACACCAAGTCTTCCACAGGCACCAGGACAAACATAAAAACCACAGTAATGTTAACTGTCCTTCCGAGCCACATCCCACAGAGCAGGTGAAAAGTTATCATGGGGACCCTTAAAACTGCTCCATTACCTCCTCACAGGTTTTACAACTCCTTTTCTCTCTCCAAGTCCCCCCTTTTTCTTGTCAGAGAAGCCATGGCAGGGTTAGTAGCTCCCCTGAGGGTACAGCCAGACAAACTGGAGCTCCCAGTCTCCTGAGCACAGGCACAGCTCTGCAGCATTCCCAGGGTCTCCTTTCTAAGCCAAGTTTTCCACTCCTGTACAAAGCTTTCTTCCTGGAGTTTCTCATACCCCACTGATTCCTCTGTGTCATCCCCTCAAGTCTCAGCAACCCCCTCCAAGCTGTTCTCATCTTGCTCAAGCCCCATTCCAGTGTTCCTCCTGTTCACACACACAGCAAGAGGTTCCTCATTTTAGCTCATTCCCCAGCCTTTATGTGCTGCCTTAGAAACCTCTTGCCCAGAAAACATTTCTGAGAAGACTTGCAGAACATTTGTCTTTCCTTGTGCCTGCCTGGAAGCACAAAAAAAAAAAAAAAACCAACAAAAAAAACCCCCACCAATTCAAACCTGACCCTAACAAGTGCTGCCCATGAAGAGCTCCCCTAAAAGACAGGGAGAATCAATACCCACACCTCAGGCACATCATCAGGCCTTTAAAAAGGGCAAGACATCGACTGCCTGCACATACTTAGTGCTGACAAAAACCAGAATAAAGCTCAAAGTACCTTAAAGAAGATGAAGTTTCTTGGAGGAGGGAGTTCTTCTCCACCAATATGGCCCAGCCATGTCTGATTTTGAGCAGGTATCTGCTCCTTCATCCCCTGTGTCACCCCTCCCTCCTCCTCCTCCCCCCTGCTTTTCTTCTTCTGACACCAAAGCCCATCCTTCCACCCACCAACCTGTGCAGGCTCAAACATCACCCAGTAAAAACACACAGCTCCTCCTCCAGACAAAGCAGCCCCAGGCCTCTCCTGGTCTCCTCTGTCCCTATTTCACATGGAAAACCAGCAGCTCTTCCCAAGAGAAAGAGGAGCCTAAACCCACATGGCCAAAGCAGCTCCCGTGGCTGAACACAGAGATCCTCCATCACAGTCAGATTCTCTCCCACCAGAACTCCTTCAATCAGCCAAGATTTAGCTGAGGATTTTCCCAGCTCCTGGCTGAGTTTTAAGTTCACTTTCTGCTTTTCCATCAAGCAAAGACATCAGTGTGAGCACACACAACACACGGGAGATGCAATTCCCTGGCACATTTAAGCTTTCAGAACAGACAGTCTGGAGGCAGCACTGCCCCTACCTGCTTTGCTGCTCCTTTGATGAGCTCCCTGAAGACCAGGTCCCTCAAATCATCCTCCGTTCTCCCCCAGATTGCTGAGTGCTCCTTGGCATCGAGGTGTCCAGGCCTTTGCCAGCCCACATGACTCCTTGGCTTATTTTCCTTGCACAGCTTGCAAAAGAAACCTCCAGCAAGAAACTTGCAGCAGCAGCAGCTCTGTCTCTGTGCCTGTCCCTCTCAGAACTGCAGGCAGCTGCTCCAACCCTCCCATTTATAACCAGCCTCGCACAGGTGATTCTTTTTAGGGAGATGTTCATGTCTTTACCCCAACTCTGGTCTGTCCTCACTCACAGCCCTTCATTTTGGGGGTTCACCTTCCTCAGGCCCCGTCTCCCCACCCCCAAGAGCAGAGGCACCATCCCCACAGGCGCCAGAGCACAAAGGGTTAAGAGAAATGGCCATTTAAAGGAAAAGAAAAGAGCATTCTCCTTCCCTGTGCTGACACACTCTCTGCTCAGCACAGCCTGTCAGCTCCCCCTTCCCCTCATCCCAGCTCCAGCTGTCTCATCCCAGGGTATGAATTCACATCAGGTATGGGGAAAGCACCACCTGCAAACCAGAACGAGCCACGCAGCAACTTTCCCAACTTCTGCCTTCGCTAATCAGGCCCAGCCCCGAAATGGAAACCGAGAGGGAAAGGTTCTGCCACTCGCCATCTATTTCTCTACCCAGATGGTTCCCTTCAAATACACAGCTTAATATACATAAATACTAAAGCAGACTTGCATCAAGACACGTTAAAAATGCCTTGGCACGGTGGGAGCCTCACTGCAGATGGCTCCTACCCCTGTGTGAAAGAAGACTAAAGCAAACCATGGCAGGAAAGCACCCGGCACAGTCACATCCACCTCCTACCTGTGAGCACACACGTCTGAGCACCCAGGAGCTGGTTGCTGGGTGCTGTCGGCTCCACGGGAGAGCCAGAGACTCCAGAGGGATGCTCCTCGCTCTCCGAACGCCGTAGGCTCCCGGCTCCCAGCGCAGGGAAAGCAGGGGGGGCTCTGCTCTGTGCTCGATGCAGCGGTCACATCCAGCCGGGATGTGGCTGCTGAGCGGCTTCCCGGAGAAAAGGCTGAGACAAAGGGCTGGTTCCTGCTGGGGGGGATCTCCCCTGGTGGTGGTGGGGGCTGCTGGAGCCCACCAGCGCTCCGTCAGAACGGCCGGGATGCGGCGGCTGAGCTGTCCCTCAGCATCCCCCGCCAGCGGGAGGTCCCCGGGGAGGCAGGGACAGCGCTGGAGCCTCCAGCCAGCAGCACCTCCCCGCAAAGGGGGAGCGGGAGGCGAAGCGAACCCCCGGCTTGTTCAGTTAACTCCCCCCGGGGTCGCAACCTTGAGGTCTCGACCCTGCGAAAGGAAAGAATCCAGCCTGATGGGCGACGAGCCGAGCGGCGCTCGCAGCATCGCTCACCTACGCAGAGCCCCGGCCCAGAGCCGCGGCTGTGCCAGAGTTCAGGCGTAAATCACACGGAATAAAGTTGGGCCTAGGAAGAGGTTTCTGCGTGGAGTTTTCCCCCCAGTGCCCGGGCTCAGCGCTGCTCGTTCGCTAAAGGAGTCAGGGCAGCGCCGACCCCGCACGTCTGCGCACACAACGAGCACCTCGCACATTCCGAAGGCAAATCATTCCCGAGCACAACTCCACCGACACGCGTTCCAGAACAATGAGCCCTTTTTCTTTCCGATCCAGAGCCCGAGAAAAATCTTGAGTTAGAGAGCGTTTTCCTCGCTGCCTGGCACGCAGGGCTGCGAGCACGGCAGCCCCCGGGGCCGCGGGGAGCATCCCTGCCAGCTGCCCACCGCATCCCGGGCATCGCTCCCGGCTGATCCACAGGAGTTGTAGCCACCCCCTCCCCGCGCCCCGCGAACTTCGGCTCCGCCGAAAAGCCGGAGCGTGGCATTTTTCAACTCTTGGTGCGCTAAAAACACCGCAAAGGGCTGGTCCCAAAGTCCTTCAGCGAGTGCAGGGGGCGGCCGGGGGGCACTCGCTGTGGGTCCGGAGGGGATGGATGTGACCGGGACGGGGCTGAACGTGGCCGGGGAGGGGGTGACTGTGGCCGGGGGGGCAGCGAGCGGCTGCGGCTCCGCGCTCCGAGCGCTCCCGGCCCCGCGGCTCCGCAGCGGCGGCTCCCGGGGGCCGGGGCGAGCATCCCGCGGGGGGACCCCCGGCCCCGCCACCCCGGGGGAGCGCTGCCCGCCGCCCGCCAGACCCTCCATCCCTGCCTCCCTCCGTCCATCCCTGCCTCCCTCCATCCCTGCCCGCTCGTACCTGGGCTGGGCTCTGCCCGCGGCTGCTCCGGCCCCGCTCCGGCAGCGGCGGCCGCGGGTCCCCGGCGGCGGGAGGGGGAACTGCAGGGGGCGGGGGGCGGCGGCCCGGGCACGGCGGGGACCCCCCCCAAAAACGGGCGGGGCGGCGAGGGAGGGATGGAGAGGGGCTACGGGGAGAGAAAGGGGCTGGGGAGGGAGGGGAGAGAGGGCAGGATGGAGGGATGCGGGGAGGGAAGGGATGGAGAGGGGCTACGGGGAGAGAGAGGGGCTGGGGAGGGAGGGGGGAGAGGGCAGGATGGAGGGATGCGGGGAGGGAAGGGATGGAGAGGGGCTACGGGGAGAGAGAGGGGCTGGGGAGGGAGGGGGGAGAGGGCAGGATGGAGGGATGCGGGGAGGGACAAGGAACTAAGGATGGAAGGAGGACAGGGCAGTATGGAGGGATGCAGGGAGGACAAAGGACTGAGCGTGGAAAGAGCACAGGGCAGGAAGGAGGGAGGGAGGGAGGGATGCAGGGAGGACAGAGGATAGAGAGGGAAGGAGGACAGGGCAGGATGGAGGGTCACAGGGAGGACAGGGGACTGAGCATGGAAAGAGGGCAGGACAGGATGGAGGGATACAGGGAGAGGTGGATGCAGGGGGGACAGGGAGCTAAGGATGGAAGGAGGACAGGGCAGGATGGAGGGATACAGCAAACAGAGCATGGAGGGAAGCAAGGAGCAGGAGAAGGGAGCTGGGAAGGAGGGCAGAATGGCAGGAGACTGAGGACAGAGGGAGGCCAGAAACTGGGCTGGAGGGAGCACAGGAAGATGGGATAGAGGGAGCACAGGAAGATGGGATGCAGGAGTCTGAGGAGGGAAGGCAGGGAGCAGTGGGGCACTGAACTATTGCTTCCAAAAATGACCAGTTTTCCTAAGGCCAAACTAAACACTCCCAGTTGGGATATTTGGGTTTGGGAAAGCTGTGCTTTCTCCCTCACATCCCAAGTCCTTAATTTGCTTTAGGACTCTCCAGGGCTCCACCTTTCCCTATATGTTCTCTCCCTCTGCAGTCCCTGAGAAGGACACACGGTGAGACACTTTTGCCCTCAGCTGCTAAAATCTTCATATCCAATATTAACCTGCTCCTTGTGCCCTGAACAGCAACGCAGGCTGGGAAAAAAACATCATCCAGCACTGGGAGACTGGCAGGAGTGGGACAACCAGAGCCATCCCAGGGTGTGAGGCTGAGAAATGCTGCACCAGCCAGAGCTGAGGTGTCCCTGTGCTGCTCCAACCTCCCCTGCAACACTTCAGTTTTGTTTCCCTGTTTATTTGTTTTTAATGGCGAGAAAAGCGAAGCTTTTAAACCATCAATTAATTGGACTCTTGCATTAAGAGCAATGAACTATTATTTGACAGGAATTCATCTTCCCCTCCTGCTGAGAAGAAATAAGCTGGCGGAAAAGAATCAGCTTCAGAGGAGAAAAATAAAACGCCTCTGCTTCAGAGACAAATTACTCATGAGGTACACAGGTAACAGGCATGGGGTGTTTGAGCTCATCCCTTTTACACATCATTTCCCTCAGGACAACAGCTACAAGTCACTTGCTGTGTGACTGATCCCCAGGCCTTTGCCCCAGTGCCCCTGCCCAGCAGGCCATTCCAAGCATTTATTATTCCAGGAATAGAAGAGCATTTCCCTCTGTCTGGGCTGAATTTGCTTTTAATTTATGGTTGTGGCCCTCAAGGTCCAGATTCACACCTGCCTGGGCTGCAGCTCAGTGCTGAAGGTGAAGTGGGAGGGACAGCAACACATAGGCTGGGAGGGCTGGGATTGCTCCCAGACCCAGAGCAGGCTCTGGGAAAACTCCAGGAGTGGGAGGTGGACAGATCCTACTCTGACCTCAGTGCTGAGCACACCTGGGCCAGGCACACCTTCTCCTGCCACCTTTGCAGGCACCATCCAGGTGGATCCTGCATCCTCCTCCCTCTCCTGCCCTGTGAAACCACCCCACTCTCTTTCAGACATATTTTGGATAGTTCAGGTCCATCTCTGCCCTTCACACACTTATTGGAGCCTCAGCCTTGCTGTCATGCACTTAGAAGGGAACTTAATACCTGGGAAAGCTCATCCAAGGCCTCCACCCCAAAATCCCCATGGCAGAGCAGGATCACAGAATTAAAGCACCCTGTCAGCCAACAGCAGGGGAGGGTGGCCTGAAAGCAGGGAATCCAGAGGAGGCAGCTGCAGGAGAACTGTCTGCAAATAAACCTGGCTTGCTTTGGAAATCAAAGGTTTCCAAACTGCCTCCTGCCAGGAAGTGTTACGTGGGGAGGGGAGGGGGAGGGAAGCCACCCAGTGGTTTTAAAATAGAGTTTGGTCACTTTATGAATGAGGTGATCTGACACAGTTCCCTGCCAAAGCAAGGGAATTTGGTGACCTAGAAAATCCCGTTCCTGGGGATGGAAGTGTTGTCGTTGTAAGACTGTAAATCTGAGTATTACAGAGGGTTTGGGATCCTGCTTAAAGGATCCCTGCACAGAAAGGCAGGGAAGAGATGCTGATACTTCAAAGAGCCCTCAGAGACAGGCCCCCTCCTGCAGGGCAGAGCAATGGTCCCCACCAGCCAGCCCTGAGAGCTCCTCCCCTGGGAATTGCTGCCAAGGTGCTCCCTGAGGTCAGCAAGGCACAGGGGGGAGATCAGAAGGTCTTAAAAATCTGGTTAATTGCCCAAAACAAAAGCTCAGAACTATGGTAGTATTGCAGGTCCAGCTCAATCCAGCCCCAAACATGCTTTGGGGTCTCAGCCCAGCCCCAAACAGCCTCTCCCCAGCAGCAGCTCTGCCAGCTGAGCCCCTGCAGGGTGTGCTGATGCACATGGATGAGTCTGCCCCAATTTCCACCAACAACAGGCTGTTTGTTCCGTGGGATAAACCAACACCTCCAGATCCAAACATCTGGGGGAAGCAGCCCCCACCCTGCTCAGCTCGTGGCATATCAGATACCCGAGCAAATAAATGATCTTCTCCCTCTCAGCTGCACCAAGAGGGGCTCTGATCTCAAACCTGACGTGAAGCTGAGCTGTGAATCATTGAAACAACTGCTACATTTCCCTTCATAGGTGGCTCCATTTCAGCAGCACAGCAAATAACAGTCCCACTGCAAGAAGGAGGCAGTCAAATGCATGAAGAACTGAGAGATTTCAGGGGATAAAAGATTTCTCTTTTTACTGAAATACAAAAAAAATAAACCTATTATGTGCGTCCCAGGTTTTTCCTTTAAGGTTCAGAATGAGTTTCTATTGGCAATAGAACACGTCCAAATTAGATAATTTTATAGATAAGAACAGCTTTGAAGGAAGTGGTTAGGGGAGTAAGTATCTTGTGGTAGTTACATAAAAAAGCCCATCTAATTATATATATATATTTAGATAGCTCAAAGAAGTTAGTAGGATGAGTTAGATAAATAAGGAACATTTTGTGGAACAGTTTGTTTGCCTTCTTTTTCATGCAAAAGAAAATGTGTGTGAATTTAAACGAGCTCAAGTCAGGAATGGCATCTGCCATCCTGATGCAAAATTTGGGAGGATGCTCGTAGTCCCATCTGAAGAGGGGCTCCACACCTTTATTCCCAATGTTGAAAACAAGCCATTCCTTTAATTACCATCTAACCTCATAAATACATGTGTGGTTGGTGCCCAAAGCTCCCAAAAGAGATGGATCACACCCCCTCCCAGGTGCTGCACACGCAAGTGAGACAATCCTGGGAGACCAGAGCTCTTAAATGAGGTTCCAAAAAGCATTTTGCCATTTTAGAGATGGGAAACAGAGGCCTGGAGCAGCGACAGGATTTCAGGAAGGCCACATCTCAGAACTGAACCCACCTCCAGTCACAGCCCTTTCACAAGGAGATCCATCCCCTCAGACAACAGGAGACATTGGACTCATCATTTGCAGTTTATCTTCACTTGCATCCCAGTTTTCCTTGCTTTTTTTTTGTGTTCTCTTCCTTGTAATTGCTGCCATCAAAGGATGTTTTTCCCCTCTGTGTGTTCATTCCATTCACACAAAGGAAAGGCAGAAAAAACAAAGAGCCCACCAAAACCACTGACCCCACAGAACCCACCTCCCTTTGAAATGTGAGAGATGAAAAAGAGACTTTTGGGGGAGAAATGATTAAGAAAAGGGAGGAATGAAGAACGAAATGATTTCAGATCTCACGAGCAGGTTGGTGCAAGGACTAAAGAGGGGACCTCCCATCTCTGTAACTGGAGCCTCTGCTCTGGCTGTGACTCACTCTGGGGCAAATTCATCTGCCCTTAAATCTCCACCAGTCTAAAAAACCTTCATTCAAAGAGAATCAGAGCTGCAGAGCTGTGTTGTATCTCCACAGCTTCCCAAGGAACTGTGGGAGCCCTGCACTCCCCTGTCTCCCAGGGCTGGTCAGTCCCTGTCTCGAGCCAGCAGATGCTTCTTTGGGTTGAGCCCTGACTCTCCTCACCAGCACAGTGCATTTTCCACCACTAATAATTCCATGGAGAGTTAAGAAAGGGAAGCAGAGAAGATCAGACTCAAGGCCTAAGGTGATGTGCACCAGCACAGTCACCTGAACAGGAGGATTTGGATCAGCCCAAGCCTCAAATCTCTTGACAATTCCAAGCCCAAAGTCCTGGAGGAGCAGCTGGAGCAACTTGTGCCATCAGAGGATGGGGTTTCTCGAGAAGGAGAAGCCAAGACTGGAGTATTTCCCTGCTCCTCTGCTGTCCCTGGTTAAGCTCCCACGACTGACCAGGGCCGTGCCACCTGCAGCAGCAGCAGCAGCAGGGAAGAGCTACTTTTTCG